ATATATATCCCTCTCTATCTATCTTTCTCTCTCAATCTCAATCTATATCTATATCATTTCATTAGTCTAATATAATATATACTAATATTCACATAATATATCTTGCCTAGTCTCTGTCTCGCTTCTCTCTCTGTCTCTCACTTTCCTCGTTAATTTAACGACGTTCATTTAACTGCTTAGTACAGCTTATTAAATATGCATCCATCCAGCCATTCATCTACATCTCGTACACCCACAACAACAACAACAGCTCGATTGCTAGATACATTTAACTGGCAAACGGAGCACAGACGCAAATATAAAGAGTTTGGGCGGCCCTAGGGCTGAGGCTGGGGCTGTCTTTTGGCTGCCACGCCCACAGAAAAAAGGGAAAAAAGGGGAAAAACAGAAAAGAGGAATTTGCATATGAGTTTTATATGAAAGCTTCTTTTGACGAATGCGACGCTGCTTTATGAAAGGCGACTCGTGTTGCCAGTGACAAATCCGTTAAGTCGCATTCAACCCAATGATGATGATGATGCTGATGATGATGGTGGTAACTGCTGTAGTATTTGTGCAATGAATTTGATTTTGACCCCACAGAATGTTAAGTGTAATCAAATTCAACTGGAAGCTGAAGCTGAGACTCGACCTGAAAGGAGAAAAACTTGTCGAATTTTATTAAAATTCGCACACAATGCGACGCCCTGTGGCGCCACAGAAATTATTAAAAAGTAATTATGGCACAAATTACGAGATATCAATACGGCATTTAGCGCTGCATGTGACCGAAGGGGCGAGAGCACGCAGAGAAATCTCTAGCTTAGGGGTAGCTGAGAGACGCGCGGTGAGCGGAGTCGGGGGTAGGTCGAGCGGGGAGGAGCTGCACTTGAAGTACGCTGTGCAAATCCTTTAGCTCACATCCTTGTTGGCTGCTGGTTTCCGCTGCTGTCTGTGGCTCACAATGCGATTGCTGCTGCTGCTGGCAGCGACTCCTGCTCCCCCTGCCATGTGTTTCCTTCTGACATAATATCAAGATTGATTCTTTTGATTGAGTCGAAGAAACAACGGGAAGCATTTCGCGTACCTCTCGGGGTTGTTACAATCCTTGGCCATTCCCGAGGATCAGCTCCATTGACTCGATCATCATCATCAGCAGCAGCAGCAGAAAAGGTCGACAGCTCAATGCATAATGGGCATTATGTTCAGAGAGCGAGCTACTACAACAATTCCATATAATGGGCATCATTATAACTATGGAGAGCAACTACTTGAATCCTACTTTGATCAATTGTTAATTGTTGCGCCTCGGATTTGGGAACGAACAGTGAATAAAATGAAATAAAGTCGCAAGAATAAATGAAACAAGTTATACTTCAATTAGTTGTTGAAACACTATAGCAGGTATTCACTGCAGTTTTCTATAAAAAGTTTGGGAATTTACGTTCAGAGATTTATGGAAGTAAGACATACTGAATAAATTGATCTTAATTCATTGCATATAAAATCTACAGCAACTATAAGTATAGCCTATATAGTGTAGCTGTCAAAAGCTACAATAGGGATGACTATTCATTCCAAGAAATATAAGATCTATGTTCCTTAAACAAGACAGAAATCATAGATTATGTTGCTATAGGCAGTGCTTAAGTTGACGCAGATCATAGCTGACGCTAACATTATGGAACTGCCATACGCTAGATCGATAACATTTATCGATAGCAATAACTAACAAACTAATTGGAAGTTTAAAAAATCTTTAAACCCATTTTAAGTCTATTCTAAAAGCCTAAAAACTTTAATATATACTCAGGTTGTAGTGATCTTTAAGTACTTTCTAATACTGCCCTGAAAATTGCCCAAATTCAAGTGAATTGAAATTACTCTAATAATCTATGCCCATCTATAACATCTCACATTCATCCCGCTCCGTCTACCAATTTCCAATCTCTGAATACTTTTGAAATATGTTTAAACAAATTCGTTCATTAGTTTGATTTATTTTCGTTTTCTTTTGATCTTAATGTAATATTAATTTACAGTATTACTAGATGTTATGACAGCAGATCTTTAATACTAAGTCTCTTATAACTAAACAATATTTGTGAAATTTTCGCAAAGACAAACTGAAAGTTCATTTTGGCCATAAGACTATATACACACGATCCATATACATTCAATATAATATAATTAAGCGCTAGACTATACACGATCAATGATATATATATATATATCACTTTTAGACTTATATATATGATCCATCCAATATATATATATCACTATATCAGCTGCTGTGCCAGCTCGCCCTTCAGTCTTCGCTCTTGGTGACCACCGAGACGGGTGTGGAGGCATTGCTGCTGCCACCTGTGGCGCTGCGCGGCGACTGCGCTGCCGTCGAGGTGAGCGTCAGGTCGCCGGAGATCAGAGTCGTAGCGCCGTGCGAGAGCGGATGCGTGGCCAGGGAGTTGGGGCTCTCACGGGGACTGCTGTTGCTGCAGGGCGGGCTCACCTGCGCCGACGACGACGACGAATGCAGCGACAAGTTCTGCGGATAGCCAACGGAGACAGAGGCGGAGGCAGAGGCAGCAGCCGCAGCGGCTGCAGCGCCAGCACCGAAGATGCCATTCAAATTGCTCAGCCCCATGTACTGGGAGAGCAGTGTGTGGAAGTTGGGCAGCTTGTAGTGGGGCGGCATCAGCTGCTGCGGCAGCAGCGCCGGATTGAAGTGCTGGTGCAGAGCGAAATGCGGAGGCCAGAACTCGGCGGGTAGCGGATGGCCGGGCAAGGCGTGCGGCGGCAACGGTATGCCCAAAGGAAACTCGGGCAGGCCTGCATACACAGAGGAAAGAGACAAAGAGAGAGAGGGAAAGAGGGTTAGGCTTAGGCGTGGGCGTAAATTTTAATTATGTTGCAGACTCACCTTGGTCGGGCAGCAGATAGCCAGCCTTGTCCTGATTCATAAACTTCTCACGTTTACGCCATTTGGCGCGTCGATTCTGGAACCAGACCTGCAAGAGAGAGAACAGACAAGAGTTGCAGTTAGCAATTGCGTATGCAGCACAATACAGTAAAGTCTGCAGTTAACGAACAGACGAAAAGAAATTTAAATTGAATTATAAATAGAATTCCACAAATTTAAACACCGTCATATAATGGGCCTTGATTATGCGCGACTAGTTTCACTGTACTTGTGCCTGTTCGTCCATTTGAGTTTTCACTGTACGCTAAATGGAACGAACGTCTTCTGTAATTTGGCCTGGCCAAGCAAAAAGTTGAGCCCGAGTCTGCAGCTATGTCAAAATACAATGGCAGCCAATCGGAAGTGTGCAACGGTGATTTGACAGACAGAAAGAGAGGGGCAGAGCCAGAGAGAGCGGGCGAGAGTGGCAGAGCTACTGACTCGTCAAACGACTCGAGTCTCGAGCCTCTAGCCTAGTCTGTGGGTGAGAGCAGGACTTCCGCTTCGATAAGGCTAGTCCATGCATCGTCTGTGCTCCTCTTGCTCTTTGGCTTGTATTAAGAAAATTAATTGTTTGTAAATTGAAATCACTTGACAACTGTGCGCAAAGTTGCTCGAAGAGTTGTGCAATTATAGACACCCTGTACTTAACATGGCACATACACACACACTCACACATACATACAGAAAGAGAGAGAGAGCGAGAGGGAGAGAGCACATCCTTGGCTGGCATAACAATGCGTGCATCGAAGCGAGTTGCAAATTAGCAACGATTTCCTTGCAATAATTGCTGCCAATTATTGTCCTCTGTCTGTGTGTGTGGGTGGGCGTGCGTGTGTGTGGGTGCCACGCCCACCACCCACGCAGTCTCCACCGGTGTGTGTGTGTGTCCGCAACCCTTGTGATTTTAATTGTTGGCAGCGCAATTATAATGCGACTAAAACCACTTTTCAAGCCCAGCCAAGCAGTTGCCGAGCCGGACGAGCCGCACTGGACTGAAGTCCTTTAAGTTGAATTCACGGATATCCTGAACACATTTATCGCACATGTGCGATCAAAATATAATAATGACAATGCACATAACTTATCTAAGGTTCTCTATATATGACATAAAGATGGAAAATTTACAATTTTTTCCGAAAATTGAATACGAAGACATGGAACCCTCTATAGTATATGGTATAATATTATATTATATTTATATACAAGAAATTATAAATGTGTCTGTATATGAGCCTTGAAAGTGTTCAGCCTAATAAGATTTGATAACCATACATAATTCATTTCTTATACAATTAACAAACTATCTTATCTTATATTCCATTAGTACAACAATCCCATCAACTTGTATTAACTCATATTGTGGACCTATTTATATCAAACTCTTGATCTCTTTGTTAAACTCTTCGCTAAGCAACTCGCTTGAAGCGATTATATAAAATAAAAAACAGAAGTGTATGAAAAATTGTGATTTGTCATGGAAAATGCGCTTTAATACAAACAGATAAAAAAGTGCTTCAATTTCAAATTGGCCAGACTGTCAGCAAATCCCTAAATAATTGACCGTTTATCAACCCCTTGGCTGAAAGAGTAAAGGATACAAAAGTATCTGATAGATACGCCCCACAGAGAGAGAGAGAGAGAGAGAGAGAGGGGGGGGGGGAAACAAACAGCTGAAAAAAGCGCTGCTAAATGTGTTACTTTTTTGAGGCATTCAAGTGCACGTCTAACGTATGCGAATCAATGACCAATTACGCTTAATCTGCCAGCCAGAGAAACATACACAAACAAGGACGAAGGACGAAGCACACAGGGCAGAGGCACAGGACGCAGCGATAATCCCTCAGTGAGTGCCAAGCGCTTAGGTCAAGTTGTTTTACATTTTTGTTCATCGCTATCTCTAGCCCTATCTATTTATATATGTGTATGCCTCTCTCTTTCTATGTAACTGTCAACTCGAGTGCGAAGCAAGGATCACAGCAAGGATCTCGATTACATTCACTGTGCATGTGTGCGTGTGTGAAGCAAAGCCACTTTAATTGTTTACCCCCTCGTCAAAGCGAAGTTAATAAAAATACCAACACCAACAACAACACGGACTTTTCTGGTACTGGCGAATTTAATCATTTGGAAAATCACAAATATCTAGTGTCCCTGAGCCACCCCTAAATGCAGCAACCCCCCCATGTATTTAAATGTGTATGTGTGCGTGTGTGTGTGTGTGTTTGCATACAAAGCGTGCACTAAAGTGTTTAAAAGACTATTTACAAATTAAGTCCTTTGATTGTTGGGCAGTTTTTTCTCGTTTCCAGTTCTACTCTTTGCCTGCACGCGCGATATTTTTTTGTGGGCCAATTAAAATATATATATAAAGATACCCTGAGAACATTTATGCTGAAGCCTCAATTGAAATTAGTTTTGATTTAAAATGGTATTAGAGGCGCAAACAGAAGAATAAATTTTATAGAGTTTATATTTGAAGAAAAGTAGACTGAAATATAACTCTTAATTTTGTGAACTTGAACAAAGTCAGCTATAGATTTCTTACTAATAAATTCATTAGATATTCATTAGATTTTTATTCATTTCATTAGATATTTAATTGAATTTCAATTTAATTTCATTACGACCAACTTTTAATATGTGTTTTTTCTCCAAGTGTATTTTATACTGTTTAAGCCGCTTTAGCTTTATGCGCCTGACCTGCCAGCCCTAAGCCGTAAATAATTACATAATCAGCAGCTAAAATACTCAATTGCTCGGTTAAGTAGCTATCAAATAAGCATATACACGTACATATAGGAAAGGGAGAGGTAGATGTGGAGAAAGAGAGAGGGAGCGAGAGAGGGGGATATATACCTGAACGCGTGCTTCGCTTAGGTCGAGCCTCATGGCCAGATCCTCCCTTGTGAACACATCCGGATATTGTGTCTTCTCGAACGCGCGTTCCAATTGATGCAATTGAAATGTTGTAAAAGTTGTCCGAGATCTGAAAAAAACACATCCAAATAGAGCATGAAACAGAGGGTAAGACTGWGATGACGATGATGATGACGACGATGACGATGCTGATGCAGCGGCTGATAACAATGAATTGCTTTTAGTTGCTTTTTAATGGGCCCAACAATGGGCTAATACGATTTTATCTGCTAAGCGGGTTAACAAGCCTGAGTATCCTTGTTGATACCCTGGTACCTCCTGCCTAGACAGGGCATATCAGCTTGTTGTGCAAACATTTATGCCAGAGGCAGATGGAAGTGTGCCAAACAAGCTTTGTGACTTCTCTTCTATTACTTTTATTTTGCTTTTAGCTTCTTCTTATCTTTTATTCTTCTATATCTTCCTTCCATTAAAACCTCTTCTATCTTTTCTCCTAGTAGTAGTGCAACCTAAGAAGTATCGTCAGATCTAACACACCCATTGAGTACTACATTCTTATCGATGTCTTATCGATAGTCGATTCACCTACCTACGAACTTTCCGCGGCCTCTCCATATCGCCCAGATCGTGGCCATTATTCAGACTCGAGGATAAATCATCATCGTTGTCCACATCCAAGCCGCTTTCCGTATTCGTGGGCGAGTCCTCACGCTTGCCTGGCAAAGGTTGTTGTTGCTGTTGTTGTTGCTGCTGCGGATGTTGCTGTTGATGTTGCTGTTGTAGCTGGTGATGGTGATGTTGTTGCTGAAGTTGTTGAAGTTGTTGATGCTGCAACAAGCCGTTGTTGTTGTTGCTGTTGTTGTTGTTGTTGCCGTTGCTGCTGTTATGTAGATGATGTATGTGATGCGCGTGAGTTATCAGCACCTCATTGGGCGTATCTGAGAGAGAGAGAGAGGGAGAAATTGTAATGGAAATACATTTAAGCTGAGGCTCTTCATAATCAAGAGCTAAAAATCAAAAGTTTGCCAAATTCAATTGATTTCAAGTGTTTCAAAGTTTGGCGATTTGTGTTTGAGTTGCGAATAAAGCTGAAAGGGCAAACGCAAAAAAAAGGAAAACGGAAATAACAACAGAAGAGTAAAGGCGAAAAGGTTAAAGACGAAGCTGAAATACTCTAGCGGAAAGAGAGCGAGAAAGAGCGAGAGTGAGCGAGAGAGAGGGATATAAAGAAGGTACTAAAGCCAAAATATAAATTTTTTCTACAGATTTATCCTATAGAAAATATACAAAAATATGTAGACAATGTTCGAATTTAAGTGGAAAATAAATTAAGTGTAATTTGCATTAAAGAGACAGCTCTCTATAAATTATCCAGAAGAAGCTAATATGGATATGCATCGAGGGTCAAGATAGATCTATCTTGCCAAAGCCTTAGCTGGAATACAGCTTCAGCTTTGTTCTAGCTATATCTTAGCTATGTCCTAGCTAATTTTCATTTTAGGCCTGCGATTTTACCTTGATTCTCTCTTTATTCTAGACTATAATATCTCAAATCTCAGTTCAATGCAGATAAACCTCCAGATGTGGCTTTATTCTTGAATTTCAGCTAAATCTCAGAAAATTTCGCGCCTTGCCGTGTTACATGTTGCCCAAGAAATGTCGAATATCCTCGCTGTGCTAGTGTATTGAAAAGCAAAAACGAAGAAAAGGGAAATACAAATAAAGTTACGTTTTTCGGCAGCTGCGAAAAAGCAAAATGCATTGAATTGTAAGTGAAGTAGTAATATCCTGATATATCCTGGCTGATTGAAAGCCCAGCCCCGCTCAGCCCAACCCCTTTCTGGCAACGTTTAAAGCTTTTTCAAGTGTGCACACATTAAATATGGGGTATATACCTATACATATATATTTGATTTGGCAATCAATAATAAATAATTATGAAAAATTTAACTTGAGCAGCAAAGGATTTTCGGGCTTGGCTACAATTGCAACCCTTTTGTCTGATCCTTGCCAGGCCCTTTCACACGCCCAGAGCTGGCTGGCTGAGCTGGTTTCTTTTTCTCTCTCTAGCCTCATATGTAATCAAATTTTAATGAACCTCAAATTAAGGATGCGAATGTCCTTGCCGGCACAGCAGGGCGCCAGATTCGAGCCGCGCTTCGTGCAGCTCGCAACATTTTCGGCCGCTTGTTGTGGCGAAAAAGGTAATTTGCTAAAAGGCATCAAATTACGCCGCAGTCGCCGGAGCTTGCAGGATATGCGATTGAGCGTGGCAGGATATGTCCTGCGGTGCGCACGTTGTCACAAATTGTTACCTTGTTGACAAATACTCTGGGTGCAGCACTGCGACTCCTACTCCACCAGCTGCTGCTGCTGCTGCTGCTGCTGCCCGATCCTGATCTCAATCTAATTACGGTTCTAATGATGGCCCAGCGTCTCATTATGTCGCCCAACTGCCAGCATATCAATGTCGTGATATGTTTTGATTGCGATTCATTTCTGCTTCGCCTTCGACGATTCTTTTTCATTTTTCGGCTTGCCCTGGCTGCGCATTAATGGTTCGCGTTCACGCAGCATGCCGTCGGCCACGCCCACTACACGGTGTCCATACAACCTCGTCTCTTTTTGCGTGTGAAACATGGCCAAGCTTTATGTAGTTAAGCCCCAACAACCCCAAACACAAAGAGGGAGTAGAAGCAGCAGAAGAGGAAGAGGAAGAAGCGAGAAAAAACAAACTATGGTCATGTCCTCTTTCTCATTTGCATATGATGTGAATGGATTGGATGTCCTTTGATGTGGTTTAAGCCGGAGCATCAACACATTGAAGCGACAGCAGGTAACGATGCGAGCTTGGGGCAGACTCCATCAAAGGGGGGTTTCTATACTATTTTGTGAAAAGCATGAAACCAAAACTATTGAGGAGTCTTACATTATTTAAGAAAAACGTATCACATATTTTTAAATATTGATATTAATATATATATTTGAGTCGCATTTGAGCGACATGATATTCAGGTCAGAGCGCAGATTTATATAGCATATTAAACTGTTAAGAAATTAAGTCTAAGTGAGGGAGGAATTGGCCTTATATTATAAAATTCGAAAAAATAATAGGCTATACAAGTGAGATATAACCATAGAAAATAGTAGTATATGACGGAAACTTTATTTTCTACTTCATTAGGGTCCCAAATCAAACAGAGCCAGCAAAATTACTAAAGACTGCACGTTATCGAATCTTAGCGAAATATGAAACGATTTGAAAAGATATATGTTTATATGCACTGTTTAAATAAGTTAATTGAAATGATAATTGAATGCTGTAGCCAAATTTAAAGCAAAACTTAGCTTAAAGATATTATGGCCAAGTCTCAGCTATAATCTGGCAAATGATTGCTTATATCTCAGCAAGATATATTGTTTGATTTATATTCGTAAAGTAACTAATCTAGAAAATAACTTGTTGCACCGGCTGAGATCAGCGACGGCAACTGAACTCAATGTAGTTATAGGTGCTCTAGCACTTGGCTCAACAATGTTGATATGGATACTTATTAAATGTCATTTAATCTGTATATATCTGTATCTAGCCCACTCATAAATCAAACAATCATTATCTATAGCACTCACCACTTCGCTTCGTTTGATGCTGATTGCCCAATATCTGATCGATGCTGTAGACGGCGCGTGGTCGCGAAACGGGGCTCTCCTGTACAGGTCGCATGGCTGGTGGCATGATGTTCGAGTGCTGTGCCGATGTTGTTGTTGTCATCATCTCAAAAGACAGGCTTTCAAGCATTAAATAACGTACAGCTCTAGCAGCAGCAGCTGGCAACGTGCATGACCCGGCGCACTAAACTCAGAATTGCACTCGATTTGGTTTTATTTGTTGAATTTCAATATTAATGAATTCTCGTTTTTACAATTTCTTGTTGTTTTTTATTCTTTTTTGTTCACAATTTTTGATTGTAAAAGTGAAAAACGCGCACGCACTCAAGAATGTTATTAACCAAAAACTTCGATTGGGTTTTGGGTACGTTTCTGTAGTTGTTGTTGGTTCGCTCAGCTGGACAAAGACACGTACGCTGGCAGCGATCAACAACCACCGACTGAGCTCGGCGAACGCTCAGTCAAGCCATTAAATACGCCAGAGAGGCGTTTATTCTAGTTGTTCTTGTTGTTGCCCATGTTGTTKTTGTTAGCAAGTGAAATGGGCTGCGCCTTGGCGGTGTCCGTTATCCTGCGTTGTCGCGCTATCTCGCTTGCGCACAGGGTGAGTTTCGCATGCACGCACTTACTCGCAAGGGGCGGCTCTCTCTCGCTCAGCCCGCGCTCACGCTCTCATTTGAGCTATCTCCATCCCGCTCTGGCTGCCTCACTCTCTCGTTTGGGCAGTTTATTTGCCATTTAGCTGTGTAACTATGTTTGCTGATTAAATTTTATTTATTTCATAAATTTCACTCATTAATATGAAGCTCTGCTTGTTAGTCACTTGACACGCACACGCGCTCACACACACGCACATGTACATGAACGCACACTCGCTCTATCTATCTGCCTCTCCCTTGCTCTCACTCACTCCGACATTCGCGACCGGTCAACAAATCACAAGCAAGTTTAGTTTCTACCTGCAGCTGGGCGAAAATCGGCCATTTATGATTTCTGCTTTTTTATGAACCTTTTGCGCGTTCGACAAATCGCGCACCTTGTCGCAGCATCATTTATGATCTCTGCCCGGGGATTGAGCATCGTTTCATTGAACAATCCAAATGCTCAATGAAGAAATCCCTTTGCTTAGCCAGCATCTTAAATGGGAAGCGATTGAGGAAGGGTTTCATTCAGAATAAACAGATCTGCAGGCAAATTCTGCAATGAGGTACAGCACTGACTGAACTATAAAATATATCTGTTTTGAAGAAGAAATTTGAACTTAACTCATGATTTAAAAAAAAAAAATCAAATATATATATTAAAAATTATTTGAAATAATATATACAAAATATATAGAAAATAGGAGATATTTTAAAAATATTTTCTTCTTAAAGAAATTTTTTTAAAATTTAAAAATAATCAAGTCTTACAAATTATACAAAAAAAATTAATAATAATAAAGCAAATAATAATATTAATAATAAAACAAAGTGTAATAATTATTATTGCAATATATTATAATATATTTATAATCATTCTTTGGTGTTTAAATATATATAAAATAATAAATACATATAAAATATAATTTAAAAATTAGCCCATAAATAAGCATATTAATTTAGTTTTTAAAATTTTGCAAATAAATTTAAAAATACTAATAAACATAATAATCTAACTGCAAGATATAATTTCAAGCACTGCACAGCCACTTGGATCATCCAGATCTTTGTAATCCGTACTTAATCTATTTCCTTAAACAATTCTTAAATTATTTTTTACTCAGGCCTAAAAAAAATACTAGAGCCAGCTCGAAGTCTGAGCGCATATTTTAAGCACTCTACAGCCTTGTCGCTTGCCTCGTCGCCTGGCTGGATTTGATTGAGCCTTGAGGCTTACGCATGTCGAGTGTCCTGTCCAATCGCGCTGTGGCTGCTCAACGCGCTGCCCCTTATGCAATGCCCTTAGCCAGCGCAGGTTGCATAATAACAAAAGGTGGCCCGGACAATGCGAGAAGAATGCAAATCTTACACAATTTTCTATTCTCCTTTTGTGAGCTGTGGCCAAAACAAAGCCAAAGCCAAAGCCAAAAACCGTGCACMATGCGCCGCAATGCGCGTAGTTTTCGCTGGAAGCAATGAACAAGTATCAAAACTCATTAAGGTGCCAGATGTGTGACGCCACACACACACAGACGCAGAGKACCCGGGACCTGTCAGGAGACGCAATGTCGCTTAGTCCTGCCTGATTAGCATTGCGCCTAATCATATTTTCATAGGACACTTCGCAGATTTCATTCAGCAATCCGATTGCACGTTCGTTTAATATAGAGCTAAGGACTAAGGTGCGAAGCCCAGCTATGCGCCTACCTGCCGCACATGATCCCTGATCCTTGAGCCATGAGCCATGAGCCATGAGCCATGCTGCTTGAGCCAGCTTGATCGATTCGTGAGCCACCAAATGCTCAGCCACTAGCTCGCCGTTTAATTTGTGTGCTAATTGATCAGCACATAAATCAAGATTTAGTTTTTTCTCGTCTGCTTTGAGCCACTTTAGAGGACCTCTCCACTGCTGCCTCCATTTGAAAGCCATTTAGCTCAAAGTGTGAAATGACAAATTGAATCAAAGTCAAACTCAAASTCAAACTCATTGAGCAGCGCACTTCAATGTAATTTCTAAATTAGCACATCAATGTGGCGAGCCAACCCAACCGACCCAGCCGACCCAGCCTGCCCCGACCCTAGCATTAAGCCATCCCAGTTATCTATGCGATTTACTGCTCTCTCATTGGACATGCGCAGCTTTCGCTCATTCTGATTGGCCGCAGACACACAGAGCAGGCAGAGCTGGCAGAGCTGGCTTTGCCTGCCCGTCGAGGTCATTATCGTGTTGTCCCACCTCCTCTCGCTCTCTCGCTGCATGCCAGCCCCCACTGCGCACTCTGCCCTCCCCCTCTGGCTTGCGTGTAAACACATTGTGGCAATTCTCTTCGGTGCGATGGCTGTGTTCACCTTTTAATAAGGTTAACTGCGACGACGACGACCCACAGAACACCCACGAGGACAATAGCTCAGCTACTCCAACTAAAGCTAAATGTGTGCGCGTGGGTGTGTGTATGTGTCTGTGTTTGTGTGTGTATGTGTGTGTGTGTGATAGCTGCTGCTGCTGGCAACATTTTTCTTAACCATTAAATCTAATATATCAAAGTAATAAAACGAATTTTGTCTGCAAGTGTGCGTGTGTGTGTGTATGCGCGCACTGGAGGGGGTGTCTTCCACCCTTACCCAGCCCCTCACACACATAATCCAACTAAAAACTTTTCGTCTACTTAGCGTCTGCCTTGCATTGTCTGACGGATGCTGAGCGAGAGCGAGAGCATTTTGTCTTCTTGCTGTGGGGAGTTTTGTTTTGGGTTTGGGTTTGGGTTCTCGGTATTGGGTTTTGGGTTTATGGCTGGGGGTTTTCAATTTTCAAGTTTCGCCCCCGAACCCTTTTGGGCTAATTGTGTGCGGGGGTTAAATAACTGCTGCTGCTGCTGCTGACATTTGAGGCTGAGCCTGAGTTCATAAAAGGGATTGACTTCTTAATTATAAACGCAAATAATGAAAGGTAAGTAAAATATGGGCTTATTTAGACGCATACATGTAAGCAGAGACATTTATGATGTGACAGGTCATGCATGTGACTTCTAATTTGATCAGCTCTCATAGATAACGACTTGGATTTAAATAATTGATATTTATTACTAGCTCAACAGTTTACTAGGTGTATTAGTATTTTAGGCTAAGATTATTTTGTAGCTAAATCTTCTTAAATATAACTATATACCACATTTTATAAATCTAGCTCTTATAAAACTCATACAAACCCCATTTTATAATTAAAGTCATGATAAGTATAATACAATATTGAATACTATGGAAAGATTTCGGAGTGATAACCACTTCAACCAGCGCATATCATATAAGCGTAAACAAGTTTGAGTGGTTAGTTTTCCAACTTTACTAGTTTTCGAGTGTATTGGGATGGGTTATTTCATATATTTAATGCTGAAGATACTTTAAATAGATATATCTTAGAAAAATGTACATAAAATGAAACTTTATATATAGCATTTCGAGTATTTAAAATGGAAAGCTAAGTAGAATAAAACATGAAAGAGTACTTCAGAATATAAATTTCACGACCTTGAAGCGATTCTTGTTTAAGTAAACAAATTTCGAATCAAATTTCATCTGAGTTTGCATAGCAAAGGAGACTTCTCTATCTCTGAGCACAGTTGAAATGATATAGCTGCTCTATGAAATGAGGAGTTTGATAGAGCCTTCGATAGAAGGTCCATGTAGCTATCTCTCAGCCTTTAACTATTTAAAATCTACTCTATTAAAACTACAGTTAGTTAGGCACCCTGTATTTTGAAAACCTTGCAAATTGCATATTACAAATAGTTTTCAAATGTCTATGAATTTCATATATTTACATTTGTCTGTGTGTATGTGTGTATAAATGAGCAGCTCGTCTCTTGGGCTGCTTTGCTCTTTAGCTATTTGGCTGGCCAGCAACCGCAGCTGGCTTTGCCTAACACACACACAGACACACAATATCCAATATATATACCCCTGTATATATATAAATTATTCAATATCCTTTGCTGCTTGTGGCCATAATCAAACAAGACCAGAAGCAGCAGCAGCTGGAATGAGAGGGGCTGGGTGGCTGGGCTATTTGCGAGCTAAGTGAAACCAAGCGCTTGTTTGACATTTAGTTTCATAATTTAATATTCAGGCAGTGCACACAGAGGCAGCGACAGCGATAGAGAGAGCGAGAGGGAGATAGAGAGAGAGAGAGGGGAGATGGCAGCCATAGCAAATGAAGGCTTCCGCTTGGCCTCAGCCACAGACCGCATATAAATATCCTAGTTGAAGCTGTGTCTTGCATTTTTCGGGCTAACAATATTGAAACGTTTTATTAAGCCCAGAGGCAGCAGCAACAGCAGCAGCAGGAGTCTGAGCCAGACAGGAAGACGCGCGCGGCCACTTGGAACGGAACTCTTGATGCGAAGTGGGAGATAAACCGTGTTTAGCTGCCCACGCATGCAGCCTAATCTGGAGCAAATTGACACCCGCTCGAGGCCCGTTCACACATATGCATATGCATTTCCACAAAACCAAGATGAAAGACAGCGCCGACCGCAAAAAGAACAGGGCAGATCAAACTATATGGATATATGCCAGTTCCAGCTAATTAGGCGAGTGGCTGAGCGTGCGAGTGAGAGAAGTCAGGCGCACACTC